TCCTCACAGAGGACATCTTGTTACTTTTCCACTCTTCAGTCATGAGATCCCCAGGGTGCATGATGACCCCATGGCCCTCAGAAAAGTAACTGAAAGAGACCAGTTGGGTGTAACTGCCCTGATAAAATAAACTGAGATAAGAGGGGAACAGAAATTCACTGAGTTGCAAAACCCTCTCCCCGAGGCTTGTTAAAATATAACTGTTAGCTTTGTTTAAAACTTATTAACTAACCATTCCTTCTTTTCCTGTAATTGTAAAAATTAAGTTACAGATTGACCTTAAGACCCCTTTAGGAGTTCTTTCATGTGTACAAACCTTCAAGGTGACTGCTACAATGACACTCCTGGGGTGATGATAACGAACACCGCCATCTCAGACCTACTGAGCAGGCGCAAGGACCAAAGCCCTAACTGAGCATGCACCCATGACGCAACCAGGAAGAACAGAATGGACCACCTCCAGAGGCACAGAATGATGATGGTGGCCTGCACCCTTTGACCCCTTGCCCTATAAAGGACCGTGAACAGCTCCCATGGGGGACTAGCTACAGAGAAGTCTATCTATGCGTGAGTCTATCTCCTCTTTTAATAAAGCGTTGCTTGCTTTACTGCTGGGTGCATTGTTCATTTCTATGACTTTGGAACCCAGGAGCCTAATTTCGTAACACAAGGATGGAGTCATGGGAAACTTGATTTATAGCCAGTTGGTCAGAAGCACAGGTAAAACAATTTGAGGCTTGAAATTGGCATTGAAAGTGGGGTGCATCTTTGTGGAACAGAGCCCTCAACCTGTGAAATCTCAATTGAATTTAATTAGAGGGCACCCAGCTGGTGTCCCTTGAAGAATTGGTTGCTTACTTGACATGTTGGGGGAAAAACCCACATGGGTGTTAGAAGTGTGTTGTGCAAGTATCGTAGGTGAAACTGAATTTGTTTATTCCTATATATTCTCAGACTTTTCAAAGCCATTTTTCCGAGTATCTCCTTTCCTAATCTCTTCCTTTTTAGGCTTTTTTGGCTGTCTATTGCTTGTTTCAGCTGTCATCCCTTGTCTCAGGTGGCTGAGGCTAGTCCATTTGCCTTTAAATGGTTTCAACAAACTCCACCTGAGAAGCTGCTTCTGCCCTGGGGAAAATTTGAGTTAGGTGAAACAAAGGCAAGTCCTTGAGCCAATCTTCAGGGAGCCCAGACAGATCGAAACACACAACCAAGATTTCTTGGGAGTAAGATTTATCTTGCTCCCTCTGGTACCAGCAGCCTGCATCTGCACTGTGGGCTGCTGTCTTCACAGCTGCTGCTGAGCTGGGCATGAGGGATGGTAAGCAGGTAAGTTCTAATGCCATAGTACTCTCTTTCCAAAATTCAGCAGCATCTTTCTTCATTAAGCATTCTCTTGGTGGTGGTGGTTGTTTTTAATAGATTCCAGAGTTCCAAAAAACATTATTCTGACAGTTTTTACCAGACTATTCATTGCTTTTGTGGAGGGGTAGTGTTAGAGTTCTGTCCTATATTTTCAGTATCATTACTCCTAGATAGCTAAGTTTTATTATGTTTACAGCAAATAGAAGTATGTCATTTCCTTTAAAAAAAATAAAAGAGCCATGGGCCGGCCCGTGGCTCACTCGGTAGAGTGTGGTGCTGACAACACCAAGGCCCCGGGTTCGGATCCCATATAGGGATGGCCGGTTGCTCACTGGCTGAGCGTGGTGCTGACAACACCAAGTCAAGGGTTAAGATCCCCTTACCGGTCATCTTTTATAAATAAATAAATAAATAAATAAATAAAATAAAAGAGCCATAAAAACAGTAAGAGGTTCGGAACTGAAGACACTCGGGTAATTTTCAGCATATAAGTCCTTTCATAAACTAAGTCTTCAAAATAAGAATACAAGAAACAACATCAGGCCCTAGAAAATAAAAGAAACTCTAGCCTCAAACCAAAGAGCAGATTTTGGTGTGAATATAAATTGGAATAGATGTTCAACCTCACACATATTCAGAGAATGTTAACTCTCATAGTAAGGCCATTTTCAGATACTGAGAACCATTCATATTGGGCTATGTGGTATGAATTTGTGTATGTATTTTCACCAGTACTATCCTGATCTAAACAGTAATTCACAGTGCCAGGAATTGAAAACTATTGAACAATAAAAACCACAGAAACCTATGACTTATGAGAATCTGAATGGAAAAAAAATAAAAATTTCCAGGCCATTTTGGAATAATCTGGCATAGGATTTATATCCAAAATAACCTACAGTCTGAGCCAATTTGAATGAAAAAAAATCATGTATTATTTTTTCTGGGACGGGGTCAGGGTAGGGGAAGCTGGTTTGAACTCTGGGCCTCACTGTTATCAGCACTACATTTTGACTAAACTAACCAGCCAGCTAAGTGAAAAATCATGTTTCTGAATAATTTTGGAGAAAAAAACTGCCTTAGGACGTATGTCCAAAAAACTCCACAATTTGAATGAATGTGGATTAAAAAAACTGCATTTCTGTGCCATTTTGGAAAAAATTATGGTGAAGAATTTATGTCTACTTCTCCCCCCAAGATTTAGCAAATTTGGATAACCTTATTTTATACTATTTTGAAAAAAAAAAAAAAAAAGGCATCCAATTATGTCCAAAATTACATTTCTGACAAATTTGGATTAAACAAATCATCTTTCTGAACGATTTTGGAACAAAAAATTTACATTGGATATATCCAGAGAAGCCTACTTTATGAAGAAAAAACAGGCATAGGGCTGATGTCCAAAAAATCTACATTTTGGAGTGAATTTGGATTTTTTAAATCTACATTTTGGAGTGAATTTGGGGCCATTTTGGAAGATAATCTGGCACAGGATTTATGTCTAATAAATCTCGCAATGTTAGTAAATTTTAATAAAAAAGAATATTTTCTGGCCATTTGCAAAGAACAATTAGGCACGGGGCTTACTCTTCCTTCCCTCCTCCCCTTCACAATTTAAGAAAATTTGGCTAAAGTATCACATTTCTAGGCTACTCTGGAAGAAAATTCTGGCATAGGAATTATATCCAAAAAACTTCACTATTTGAGCCAATTTGACTGAAAAATCACATTTCCAGGCCATTTAGAAGAAAAATCTTTCACAAGACTGATATCCAAAAGATCTGAAGATGTGAATAAATTTGGATGAAAATCACATTTTCTGAATTATTTTAGAAGAAAAATCTGGTGTAGTACTTAGTTCCAGTAAGCCCCCAAATTTGAGCAGATTTGGATGAAAACATTATATTTCCAGAATATCTGGGGAAAAATATCTGGCATATGATGTATTTCCAAAAACCCCTTACTTGCATTAATTTGGATTTTAAGTCATGTTTCTTGTCTATTTGGGGGAAAATTTGACAAAGGAGTTTTACATTTCAAAACCTATGATTTCAATGAATTTGGATGAAAAGTGTTATTTCTAGGTGATTTTGTAAAATAACGTGGTATAGAGCTTAATGACCACACATCCTAAAATTTTCAGCAAATTTAGATGAAGACACATTTCTGGGTCAATTTAGAAAAATCTGGCATAAGAATTACTTTGCAAAGGCCCATAAAGCTTAGTGAATTTGAATGGCAAATCCTCTTTTCAAGACCATTTTGGAAGAAAAATATAGTGTGGTATTACATCCAGAAAATCCTACTTATAATGCAAAGATGGATGAAAATTTGCCTTTCTGGGCCATTTTAGAAGAAAAATCAGGCGTGTAAGGTGGGGTGAAAAAACTAAACTTTTTGAGTGAATTTGGATTAAATAAATTGCATTTTCTAGGCTGTTTTGGAAGAAAATTTTGCTGTTGGGTTTATGTTAAAAAAAAACTCCACTGATTACTTGATTACTGTAGCCTTATAGAAGGTTTTGAAATTGGGAAGTGTAAGTCCTCCAACTTTGTTTTTCTAAAAAATATGTTCTTCAACTGCCTCTTTTTAAACTAAATTAAAACTCAGGGCACTGGAACAGTGTCTTCATACTGTTTTGTTCTGCCCCTCCCCCACCAGTTAATCTTGGAGATCACACGTGTAAGTACCTGGGCATGTTCCTCATTCTTTGTTCTGCCAGTATATTGTTCTACTTGTGCATGATTGACTTTTACTTAATCAGTTCCTCTACTGAACGTTTTTTTCTTTGCTAATATTTGAAATTACTACTGTACTAAAGAGCTTATATAAATCACTTTGCACATGAGCATGTGTAGCTATTGGATAAATTCCTTTAAATGAGATTATGGGCTCAAGGGGTTTCCCACGCCTCCTACTGAAATTCACTCCATTAGAGAAAACCACATCCACAAATGATTTTCAAGACAAGTCCCTGTCTGGTTTGGGTTGAGTGTCGAAGTGCTCTGGAATGATACTCTCAAAATTCAGGAACCGTTTTATGTAGAATCTAGGAGCTACACACGTAAATCTTCCTTCGGTCTTAGAAAAGGGTCTTATAGCTATACTCTTGAGATGATCTGGGTATTACCCATGTTCTTGGTGTGAGGCCTCGAGACTAAAGTATTGCTTGGTCACAGCTGAAAAGATCAGGCCCTGGGACTGGAGTGCTGGGGACAATGCATTGGATATGTTAAGAAGGCCTCAAGATGGCAGCACCAGGGATAAAGTCTGAGAAAAGCAATAAAGGTGTTAGGGGACGATGCAGCAAGGCAACAATATGGATGTTCAAGAGCTAGGAGGAAAGAGGAGAGAAGGAGCTGTGGCAGAGGCCAAGGGAAGAGGGCAGATGCAGGTGAAGCCACATTTTCTGGAACATTCACTCCCCTCGCCTGAAATCTCTGTATGCAGTCCCTAGATTCTCTCCCCATACAAAAGACCAGACTTTCCAATAAATATACCAGTGACTTGATTCTTACGTCTTCCAAGGAAATGACTTCTTGTGGAATAGTTACAGTAGCTATAGTTATAGCTCAAGATGTCTGCTTCACTCCGTATTCCCTGTCTTATAGATGAGTGAATCAGGTATACAGCCAGAGTTACGGATTTGTAAGGAAGCAGTTTATTAGAACAAAAGGCCACAAAACATGAAGACTTGGTGTGGAGAAAGTAAACTAAGTCAAATATCCTTTGACTATTTATGGAATGCATTTTTCCACTCCTATTTCATGGAAGTGTAAAAATTGACTATTAGTCCTGGCCACCATCTTCAATTTTAAAGAGAGTAAAGGGGGTTGGAAGATTGGCCTGAACAGGCCTCAGAGTTGGGCTGGAGTGGCAGTTTATGGTGGACGGACTTCATCTTCCTGCGCCTGTTGAAGTGAGACTTCTGGCAGAAGCCTTGCCCACCTGTCTTGCACATGTACGGCTTCTCCCCCGTGTGTGCCATCTGATGTAAGGTGAGGTGTGACTTCTGGATAAAGCCTTGGCCACACTCTCTGCACACACAGAGCTTCTCTTCTGAGTGTACCCGCTTATGTGTGATGAGAGCTGACTTATTGCTGAAGCCTAGTCCACACTGCCGGCACACGTAAGGCTTCTCCCTCGAGTGTTTCCTCTTGTGCCTAATGAGCCCTGCCTGGTGGCTGAAGCCTCGCCCACACTCCCGACACACATATGGCTTTTCCCCTGAGTGTGTCCTCTGGTGTGCAATGAGGTTGGACTTCTGGCTGAAGCCTCGCCCACATTCCTCACACACCATGGGCTTTTCCCCTGAGTGTGTCCTCTGGTGTCTGATGAGATTTGACTGCTGGCTGAAACCTCGACCACAGTCCTTACACATGATGGGCTTCTCCCCTGAGTGTATGTTCTGGTGTCTGTTGAGGTGTGACTTCAGACTAAAGCCTCGCCCACACACCCCACACACATACGGCTTCTCCCCAGTGTGTGTCCGCCTGTGGGAGATGAGCGTTGAATTCTGGCTAAAGCTGTGCCCACATATTCCACACACATAGGGCTTCTCCTTTGAGTGTGTCCTCTGGTGGTTGACAAGGGTTGTCCTCTGCCTAAAGCATCGCCCACACTCCTTGCAGGCGTATGGCTTCTCCCCTGAGTGTGTCCTCTGGTGGGAGATGAGGTTGGACCTATCACTGAAGCCTAGGCCGCAATCACTGCACACGATGGTCTTTTCCTCTAAGTGTGTCCTCTGGTGTCTCACGACAGCCGACTTCTGGCTAAAGCCTTTGCCACACTCACGGCATACGTAAGGCTTTTCCCCCGAGTGTGTCCTCTGGTGTATGATGAGGTTTGACTTCTGACTAAAGCCTCGCCCACACTCACCACACATATAAGGCTTCTCGCCTGAGTGTGTCCTCTCGTGTATGATGAGTGTTGACTTCCGGTTGAAACCTCGTCCACACTCCCTGCACACAATAGGTTTCTCCCCTGAGTGTGCCTTCTGGTGCCTGGCAAGGCTTTTTTTTAGACTGAAGCCCTTCTCACACACCCCGCACACATATGGCTTCTCCCCTGAGTGTATCCTCTGGTGACTAAGCAGGTTTGTCATCTTGCTGAAGCCCAGTCCACACTCTCCACAATTGACAGTTCCAAATCCTAAGACTTCTATCCGCTTCAACAATTTGTCTGTTTCCTCCGGGTTCCCTGGATGAGCCGGGCTGGCCTCCAGCTCCACCCCTCTGAGGCTGTTCCGAGAGCTGACCGGCTGCCTCTCGGGTCGTCTGCACAATGCTCCCAAAGTCCTTTTCTTTGTCCTTCCAAACAAAGGCTTGGTGCCTTCTCTCTCCTGACCTTCAGCTTTATCACCCCAGGAACGTGGATCAGAGGCTTGCTGCTGCTTCTCCTGCTCCCCCGGGCACAGATCCCCTGGCCAGACGTGCCTTTCTGCACACCAGCATGTGAGGACCCAGGGCGGATGATCACACAGCACATGCTGTGTGGGCAATTTCTGACTGGAGAAGTCCGGAGGGCAGAAAGAACTGAGGTGGAGTTCTGGCTTTGGTTCGGCTGCAGAGAGAAAAGTTGAGTCAAAACTGAGTCCTCAGTGCGGCAGCCCAAGCAGGTCTGCATAGTCGGACGGTAAGACTCAATCCCCTGTTCTTCAAAATGCTTAAAACTTAAGTGCTACTGAACCGAGACTTCCTTTCCATGACCTGCTCTCCAGCCCATCACTACATTTCACATCTTCTGTTATGGTCCAGAAAACCCACTCCTAAGACCTACTCTATGTGTCAGACTACAGTAACATCACAGGCAGTTTTGGGTGTGTAACTTGGCCAATGTGCAAGTCTCCTCCTCCCCCCACCCGGCAATTACCTTCTAACTCACAACCATCCACACTGACGGAAAGCACATCCGCAAGCCTGTTTTGTTTTTCTGACTGAAAGAAATCTAACCACAGGACCTATGTGCAACTGTCTGTATGTCTTTCCCTATTTCCCTATGAGGAAAAAGGGACAGACTGACAAAGCAGACATCGGGACTGCATGGAGAACCCCTAGTGCAGGAAGCAGCATAGGAGAATGGTTAAAGTGCATGAAACACCTGAGCTGGGGTCTCCCCACTTATTAACAAGTATTTATTAGAGGATTACCTTATGTTAGGATTGCTACAAGGCAGTACGCTTTCAGCAATGAACAAGCACAAAGCAGTCCAGGCCCCCACTGATTTAAAAGATGCTCCCTCCTGGTGCCCATGACCTGTTAATTTAATCTAAGCCCTGTTAATTTCCACAAGCTAGTGTAAGTAAAAATCTCCCCAGCAATCAGTGTAAAAGAAAAATGTTCTACTGATAGCACCTCATGCACAGGAGATCGCCACACTGAATGCACTGTTTGACCACAACCACTTCTAGACAGCTGAAGGCAACCACTCACCAAGCAATCTGAGAAACCACGTAGAGAGCTGATGGGATCTGCCTGAACTCTTTCCTTGATCAATGAACAAACTTATTAAGCTGTGTAAATATCTACATTCTGGAATTATTCCATCCTATACAGAATGCTACTTTTCTTTTTTTTGTCTTTTGTCTTTTTCCGTGTCCGGCAACGGATCGCAACCCTCAGTGATGCCCCCGTACCGGACCGGGGACCGGCAACAGGATTGCAACCCTCGGTGTTGCTCCCGCGCCTCGCTCAGCCAGTGAGCGGGAACTGGTCTGTATGTGGGATCCGAACCCTCGGCGGGAGCGACGCCGCGCTTCCCAAGCGGCACACTTATCCAGTGCGCCACCGGGCCGGCCCCAGAATGCTACTTTTCAATCCCAATTATAATTCGCATAACCACCCTTTCCTATCACTTAGAATTTCCTGACTTTCCATTCTGCTAACTACTAAGTGAATGCCTTCCCTTCGTTTCACTGCCTGGCCAGTGAATGAGCTCGACTTCTTCCCTATCAGTAGCTCTAGTGGCCTTTACTTCAGGCTCTAATGACAGTCTGAGGATCCCCTGATCTACCCCAAGGCCCATCTCTCCCCAACCCCACACTGCGCACTCCCACACTGAGAAAGCATGCTTTCCCGGGCCCTGTGTACTTAGGGGAGCAACTGCTGCTAACTCCTTGGTTTACTTTCATACACATTAAGTCACAGTGACATGGGTAACTGGGTCTTTCAGCAGTGGAAGAAACTTCTGGGTCTGTTCTGGGTTACACATGGTGACTGTGGTTTTGATACAGGTAATAACAGCCCCATCCACCTTTATGGGAACCAAGTCTTCTGATGTATGTACACCTATTACAGCCCTAACGTCTGTGCCTGTATGGAAGGCAGCAGGCTTTTATTTAAACTAAACATAATTCAGAATTACAGTGGCCCCTTCAGAGAAATTTTAATTTTAACATGGTTTTAACATTTATATGGAGTGACAGAAGAAAAAGAAAAACAAAATTTCAATTCTCCATTGGTCAGTTTTTTCAGTTGGTCAGAAATCTGCCATTATGTGGATACTCTAGGAAGATTTAGTCGGCAGAGATTTAACACAAAATATTACCAAATTAATGAATTAGTTTATAAAGTATTTTAAATCTACAGGTGTTTCCGTGCTGATAGCTCTACAGACTAATGAGCACTGATATAAATTTAAAATTTTTAAACTCAATAATATCCAAATTAAAATAAAAGCTGTCATTTCCTCAATAGAATGTAATAAATAAATAAAAACTGAACTCCCAATGATCTCAATGTGCTTTCTGAAGGAAATCCTTCTTGCTGCAGCTGGAGCTCTAGCTCTACAGAAAAAAGTTCAGCTGTGAGTTAAGTTAGGGGCCTTGGGGGCCGGCCCGATGGCGCACTGCTACAGTGCGCCGCTTGGGAGTGCGGTGGCGCTCCCGCCGAGGGTTCGGATCCCACATACAGACCGGTTCCCGCTCAGTGAGCGAGGTGCGGGGGCAACACCGAGGGTTGCGATCCCGTTGCCGGTCCCGGTCCGGTATGGGCGCGACACTGAGGGTTGCGATCCGTTGCCGGACACGAAAAAAGACAAAAAAAAAAAAAAAAGTTAGGGGCCTTGGTTATTAGGTTATACTAAAAAAAAAAGTGAGGCATCCAGGGTTTTTAAACTATGTAAAGAACTTTATAACAGCTGTTAGGTTAGATAAGTAGAAGTAGGTAAGATAACTCCATGCTTTTTTTGTAACTAGCCTGTTTTTTCTTTTTTTTCTTTTTTTTTCTTTTTGTCTTTTTTCGTGACTGGCAACGGATCGCAACCCTCAGTGTCACGCCCGGACCGGGACCGGCAACGGGATCGCAACCCTCGGCGCTGCTCCCGCACCTCGCTCAGCCAGTGAGCGGCCGGTCTGCATGTCGGATCCGAACCCTTGGCGGGAGCGCCGCCGTGCTTCCCAAGCGGCGCACTGTAGCAGTGCGCCACTGGGCCGGCCCGTAACTAGCCTGTTTTAAGGGCTCTCATAATACCTTTCCTAAATCTAGGTCCTAGGTATAGAATAAAGAAATTGTTAAGATGTATTTTACACCTAAAACAGGACAATCTATATCCCCAATACATCTGTATTTTGGGTTTCTAAGATAGCTTCCTGGGCAATCACAAAGATTGTTCCTTGGATTTGTACAGCATTCTTCAGGCTTCAATTCGCTCAACACCATTGTGAGAGCTGCTATTTTTCTTTAAACTAAAACAAGGATTAAAAACTAAACAGACAAATCAAAAAGATAAGTTTATCCTTAAGATAATTACAGGTTAACTGCTTGTTATTAATATAAATGTTTCAGTAATCATATACTTCTCAGGTTGAGAAAAATACACATTTGTGAAAAGTAACAAAGGTTGGAGTATATGGCATTTTCTCAGCCTCCTACCAATTCTAGAATGACCACTCAGATCAGAAAATGCCCCCATATCCTCTCCCTCTCTAACATTCCTTCTGTGTCCTTGGCTAGACTTACCTCTGCTGTCCTCTGAGAGGAAGACTTTGTGTCTCCTTCCCTTTTCCCTGTTGTATCTCAAGCATTACAGAGTTGGGTATATGTCCTTATTTTGTGATGTGGCTTCCACATCATTACCTACCCTCTCTACACTTTTAGGATCACCCACAAGCCTCTTGATTTCACACCCTTCCCTGAAGACTTGATCACCTGGCTCACATCCTCTCCACTTCAATCCTTGCCACCAATCTCAGGGTGGCCCACAGGGATGACCCATTGGCTGACATTCCAGATTCTCAGCAAAACTGACCTTACTCCTCCTCACCAGGCACTTACACCTGGGACACTGCACAATCTTCAAAGTCACTCCTGTGCACATTCTCTTCTGATACAACCTTTTATTCTTCCTTCTGGCTCACTTTGCTCAAGAATCACAACCATGCTGCTTTCCTGACTGTACTCAGGGCTCTAGTCCATGACCTTTCTCCTCACACCAGTCCCTCATCTTTACTTCTTTCTTCATACAACTGATCCAATGGAATTATATGTCCAACTGATATTTTATTGAACTGTATATTCAGCTGAGAGTGTATGAAACTGCTACAGTGCCCTCACATGGATGCTGTCATGAACTGAATTGTGTTCCCTCAAAATAACAATAACAAAATAATAACCAAAAAATAACAATACAAGAATAAAAAACAATACAGATAAAAACATACAATAAAACAATATTGTAGGGCCAGCCCCGTGGCTCACTCAGGAGAGTGTGGCGCTGGTAGCGCCAAGGCCGCGGGTTCGGATCCTATATAGGAATGGCCAGTGTGCTCACTGGCTGAGCTTGGTGCGGACGACACCAGGCCAAGGGTTACGATACCCTTACCGGTAAAAAAACAAAGCAAAACAATATTGTATTAGATGTATTAGGTATTATAAGTAATCTAGAGATGTTTCAAAGTATACAGACAGATGTGTATGGGTTATTTGCAAATACTGGTCCATTTTATATAAGAGACCTGAGCATCCTTGGATTCTGGTATCTGGGGGGAGTCCTGGAACCAATCCCTAGTGGATACCGAGGGACGACTATATTTGGAGACAGGGCCTTTAAAGAGGTGATGAAGGTTAAATGAGGTCATAAGGGTGGACCCTAATCCAATATGACTGGTGTTCTTTTAAAAAGAAAAAGAGACAACAGGTGTGTGGAACACTGTGAGAAGGCAGCATCTGTTAAGACCAGGGGTGAGGCTCAGGGCAATCAAATCTGACACCTTGATCTTGGACGTCTAGCCTACAAGAAGTATGAGAAAATAAATACCTGTGATTTAAGCCCCCAGTCTGTGGTATTTTGTGACGGCAGCACAAGCTGACTGATACAGATGCTTCACTTTCTTCACCCTGACCTCCTCCTTTCCTGCAACTGTAGTAACACACTTACACACCTGCCTCACAGTTAGCCCCCGAGTAAGTCCTGTGCAACTTACCAGTTATTACAGTAAATATGAGCGGGCCAAAGTCCCTATTAAAAGACACCACCATTTGGTTTGTTATAAAATGCAACAACAGCTACATGCTTCTGTTTAAAAGCAAAACACTCAAATCACATTCTTTTTATTTAAAATAAAAGGATGAACAAAGCAATACCATGCACAAGAAAGTGGGGTGCAAACACTAACAAGAAATAAAGAGAAAGGTAAAGGAAAGAATATCACATAGAACAAAAAGAATTTTAATGTTAAGGACTTCGTTAATGAATAAGAAAACTGTCACGAATGTTTATATACCTAATAGTACACTGAAGTGAAAGATAAGCCAAACACTTAGAAACAAATGGAGAATTTGACATAAATTACAATAACTGTGGGGAGTTTTATAACTCTAGTAGATGAGTAATATGGATATAAACAACTTGAAAACCAGGAATATTATATAAGCTATATTCTCTTGATTCTAAGACACAATTAATTGTAAGGCTCTATCTTCAATTTAATAAAACTGAGAGGAGCAAATTTCTTACCCAGAAAAAGAAAACATATACTTCTTTTCTGTGCTCAAAACATCTATAAACTTGTCAAAAGAATTCAAAAAGTTAAAACACACACACATAATTCCTTAGTTATCAATACCTCTATCATTTAAAAATAATGCAAAATAGACGGGCCGGCCCGGTGGCACACTGCTATCGTGCGCCGCTTGAGAGCGCGGCGGCGCTCCCGCCAAGGGTTCGGATCCCACCGGTTCCCGCTCACTGGCTGAGCGAGGTGCGGGCGCAACGCCGAGGGTTGCGATCCCGTTGCCGGTCCGGTACGGGTGTGACACTGAGGGTTGCGATCCGTTGCCGGACACGAAAAAAGACAAAAAGGAAAAAAATAAAATAAAATAAAATAATGCAAAATAGAAAAAAAATTCTCAGTAGGCCCGTGCTCTACCCTCTCCAATTCTATTCCCACCGTAGACTTTGATGATCACATAAACATACTGATAAACACTCTTTCACATACTTTTCTCTCTCTCTTTTTTTTTTTTTTTTTAAAGATGACCGGTAAGGGGATCTTAACCCTTGACTTGGTGTTGTCAGCACCACACTCACCCAGTGAGCCAACCGGCCATCCCTATATGGGATCCGAACCCATGGCCTTGGTGTTATCAGCACCGCACTCTCCCGAGTGAGCCACAGGCCGGCCCCCCCCTTTTTTTTTTTTTGACAAAAAACTGTGTAATATACACTGTTCTGCAACTTTTTCATTTAGTAATATATCCATTTAGTATCTGGATTATTTTGTTAAAGAAGGTAAAGGAAAATTTGCTTATACTTAATGAACAGATAGAAAATCTCATCACAAAAACAGAAAACTGGTAAAACTAAAAGAAAATTACAGAACTGAAAAAAAATACAACATCTGAAATGAAAAATTTACTGGCCAGAGCTTAACAGCATATTGGAGAGGATAGATGAGACAGTAAACCTGGAGATAAATCATCCAATCTGAAGAACAGACAGAAAAAAAAATATTTAAAAATATGGACAGGCTCAATAACCTGTGGAACAATACAGAAAGGACTAATACACATGCAATTGTAGTCCTAAAAGGGGAGAGAGAGAATGGGACAGATAAAAACATGTTAAGGAAGGGCCGGCCCGGTGGAGCACTGCTACAGTGCGCTGCTTGGGAGCGCGGCGGCGCTCCCGCCGAGGGTTCGGATCCCACATACAGACCGGTTCCCACTCACTGGCTGAGCGGGATGTGGGCGCAACACCGAGGGTTGCGATCCCGTTGCCGGTCCCGGTCTGGTACGGGCGCGACACGCGACACTGAGGGTTGTGATCCGTTGCCGGACACAAAAAAAGACAAAAAGGAAAAAAAAAAAAAAACCATGTTAAGGAATAATGTCCTTAAGGCAGTTGCATCATAGTGAAACTGCTTAATACAAAAAAAGAAAAAAGAAAACTTTGAAAGTAGCCAGAGGAAGTAGAGATAAATTATGTTTGGGGTAACAATGATGCAAATGATAGCTGACTTCTCATCAGAAGCAATGGTAGGCAGAACAATAGAACAGTATCTTTAAAGTGATGAGAAAAATAAAATAATCAATCTAGAATTCCATATTCAGTGAAAACATATTTCAAGAATGAAGGTGAAAGGACACTTTCAGAAAAAGAAAACATAAGAGAATACATTGCCACCTGCAACACAAGAAATGCTAAATGAAGTCCTTAGGGCTGAAGGAAAATGATACTGGGGAAACTCAGATCTTCAGGGAAAAAAAGGAAGTGAATAGAAAATGGTACATTATCTGCATAAGTATAAAAAGACTATTTTTTCTCTTCATTAAAAACAATTCGGGCCAGCCCGTGGCTCACTCGGGAGAGTGCGGTGCTGATAACACCAAGGCCACGGGTTCGGATCCTATATAGGATGGCCAGTTCGCTCACAGGCTGAGCGTGGTGCTGACAACACCAAGCCAAGGGTTAAGATCCCCTTACCGGTCATCTTTTAAAAAAAAAAAAACAATTCATATGAGTGTTTAAAACAAATATTTTAACACTGTATTAGGGAGTGTGTAATGCAAATTGACAACTACAGAATAAAGGATGTTGGGAGAAGCAGGTAACTGGAACTGTGCAATTGCAATGCTCTCACATTTTATATAAAGTGGTACACAGATAGGTAGAATACAAAAAGTTAAGATCATAAATTGTACTCCCTTAGCAGAGGGGTCAGCAAACTTTTCTTAAAGATAGTGAATAGTTTAGGCTTTGAGGGCTAAGAGGCAAAATTAAAGATATTATACACATATTTATATAACCATCAAAAAATATAAAAGCCATACTTAGCTCACAGTGTTTTTAGAATTTCATTTCAATTTTTTGATTGGCTTTTTAGTACACCTTCCTCCCACTGGGCTTGCCTTCTTTCTCTAGCTCACTCAGTTTTTTTTCAAGTTCTTGGCTGATCTTCTTTAAAAACAGGAACAAGAGGGCCGACCCCGTGGCTCACTTGGGAGAGAGCGGTGCTGGGAGTGCAGTGGCACTACCGCTGCGGGTTCAGATCCTATATAGGGATGGCTGGTGCGCTCACTGGCTGAGCGCAGTGCGGGCGACACCAAGCCAAGGGTTGTGATCCCCTTACTGGTCACAAAAAAACAAAATAAAACAAATAAACAAAAACCAGGAACAAGAAAGAAGCCCATAAATGTGAAAGAGAACTGGGTGAGCTGAAGACAAACCCAGCAGGAGAAAGAAAGGATTCCTCATGGAGCAAGGAGACAAAACACCAAGAAAGCCCCTCACCCCAATGAAGATGAGCATCTGGAAGGGAGGCTGAGCCAGGCAATCTAAACAGCAGTCCAGGAGGTCAAGAGAACAGCTTCCCCCCAGCACCTGAGCAATGCCTCCTCTCTCCCAAGCCTCTCAGCTGTTGACAGCCCCATGTCTCACTTGCCCTGTGTTCTCCCTCACCTGGACAGGTAGCCGGTGGACATTTTCTCTCCTCTCTCCAGGTCTCCTTCCCTTGCTCCAGCTGGGTGATGAGTTTTGGTTTAGAAAATGGAATTCCTGCTCACAGAAAAAGAAAACAAGGTGACTGTAGGTTATGGGTTCAAGGGCTCACTCAAGACTTCAGAGCCAAACTCAGTGGGGAACTTTATTTATTTATTTATCTTTATTTTTTGACCGGTAAGGAGATCTTAACTCTTGACTTGGTGTTGTCAGCACCACACTCTCCCAAGTGAGCCACGGGCTGGCCCTCAGTGGGGAACTTTAAAGGATGGTACAAAGACATAAGAATAGTGGGCTCTTGGCAATGGAAGGGATGAGTGGGGAAGTAGAACTCTGATGAAAGCACACAGATTCTATTCCTTGCTGGGTGGATGAACACCTCTCTCATTTAAAATAAGAATTTATTTAGGAAGCACACACCAGCCTGGGGGTAAAGGTCTACTAATGCAGAGTACCACACACACATATACACACAAACGTATCTACCCGTTTTCAACTCTACAAAATCAGTCCTTCCTTGGGGAAACAGGGAACACAATATCTTTGCTTTTCAGTCCAACCCAACGGCCAAGTCAGAAATCAAGATGGCTGCTTCAGGCATAGCCCCAAATTCCCAGCAGTAAGAATGCCAAGTACTAAGAGATACCATGCTTACCCAGTGAGACCAGGTTACTGTAGTTCTCCAGCATCACCTCCCTATACAGGGACCTCTGAGCTGGGCTCAGCAGCCTCCACTCCTCCTGCGTGAAGTCCACAGCAACATCCCTGAATGCCATGTGTGCCTGTAACACAAAATATAGCCCTGCTCATCCGGGAGCCAGCCTTGCCATGGCTCAGGTTGAGGTTCACCTGAAAGCTGCCCTGGCAGAGGCAGGTGAGATATCTAGATCCTACCTTTGACTGTGACCCTGACACCATGCATTCTAAGACCTTTAACCCTGTCTCTATCCAGCCAGCAGTATTTGTAAACCTACACATTCAGGGTCCTAAGTGGGCTGTTTGGGGTATACAAGGACACTTCAACAAGTTCATGGAAAAATAGAATTGAAAGATAATATGAATCTTTCCATGAACTTTTTTTTTTTTTTTTTTTTTTTTTTTTTTTTTTTTTTTTCTTTTTCC